CTGGTGGGCTTCGTCCACTTCATCAGCTTTGCGGCTTGGCAGAGCTCCTAGGGACTGATCTGGTGCCGCCTTCCATGCTAGACAAGTCCAAAAGCCAGGATCCATTGCCCCGCTTCAACGCGTCAGGAGGCTCTCCATGTTGCCCCTAAAGCGCGGTAATTTCCAAGTATGCCACTAGCATCGCTGCCGTCCTCGCAAACGCCCAGAGATTCGAAGGTGGCCTGCAATTCTGCTGGGTCTTGGGACCGCGTCCGAATGACAAGTGCGTTGAGGTCCAACATGTGGATTGATTGCCAAGAGCAATGCCAAGGCTTGAACCTCTGTCTCTGGTTCTGCAGTCTCTGCCTCGGGACAGTCGTTTCTTCTATTTAACGACTTGAACAAATTGCCTGGCCCCACGAAAGCGACAGCCGGTGCCCCGCTAACCCATCACCGCTCTCTCAAGCATTTTTGTCTGATTCTGCCACGAACCAACTCGCAAACGCAACGTGCTCATTGTCCCTGCAGACGCATTTGGGAATGTGTCAAAATCAAACCCTCCGTTTTTGGAGGGGTGGAGAGTGGAAGCATTAAAAGAACCTCGTCGTTTGAAGGGCAGCTAACCCCTTTTGACACACTCCTTTCCGCTTGGCTCGCGCAGGGCGCAGGGCGCAGGTCCGCAGCCAGCTGCGGCCAGCCACTTCCCGGAGGGCAACCCTTCACTTCAGCGCCGGGGTGCCTCACGGCGAGGGAAATCGTCACGGAGAACGGGCGGCTCTCCAAGCTTTGGGATTCGAGTCATCCGCCCTTAACCAATGAACCTTGCAAACCGAGCGGCTGCAAACGCTTTGCCGGCGGCCAGGACATTCTGAGGCGTGGCGCCGGCCTGCTGAGCCTCAGATTCCAAGGCCGGGCTCGAACATTGTTCGGTCCCGTGTTCAAGCTGCACCAAGCGGTGCAACAAGGCCCAATTGCTTTTGAAACCAAGGGTCAGCTGATTATGTGATGTGTGTCGAGCTGCTCCCAACAAACGTTGGTGTTTTCGGAGGAAGTGGTTCAAGGAGTCCCCAAGTTTCGCACCAGAAAGGACCCGGAGGAAGCCCAAGCCTCAGGCTCCATGTGCAATACGCAATTTTCCCCAAGAGGACAACTTGCAGTCGCATTGATAGCTATTCGGGTATTGTCTCCTCGGTTCACATGTTTGTTGAGTGCCATAGTCTGCGATGAAATAGAACCCACCTGGTATATTCATCCCTGGGTAAAACTAAATGATCCCTACCAGTGCAACTCAAGCCACCGTGTTAAAGGCGACTCAAATGGCCCCAAATATAAAATATCTCTGAGGGCTTACATCCTAGCTTGCGATGCAAGCTCGCTCTCTTCAACTCACCGAAACGCCCCCACAAAGCCATCTGGATCCAAGGAGCCACCCTGGCACCTTCTGCAAAGTGGTGTGGCCTCAGTCCAGCCTGATGTGCCATTTGCGCCCCCTGCACGACGTGCTGTGGACGCACGCCGGCCTGGTGCGCCATCCGCGCTCCCTCCACGGCGTGCTGGGGGGTCACGCCTGACTTCTGAGCCATCCGCGCCCCAGACACCATGTCCTTGGCGCTGAGCCCAGACTCCTGCGCCATCCGCGCCCCAGACGCCATGTCCTTAGCGCTGAGCCCAGACTCCTGCGCAAACTTGGCACCTTCCAGCACATCTTGAGGCATGAAGGTCGCTTGGCTCCCGTGGCTCTCGCTCTCTCTCCTCGAGACGGGAGGGGCAAAGCCAGAGGCCTCCAGGGCATCCCTTCCTTCCCTCCTGTCTCGCACAGGGGGGGCAAAGCCAAAGGCCTCAAGGCCCTCCTTTGGTCGCGATTCGGACGGGCTCTTCTTGGGCCAACCAAAAGCCTCCGGCTCAGCCGGACGGTCTTTCCTGAAAGGATTCCCAGAGGCGGATGGCGGGCGTGGCGCGCCTTCGGGCCGTTCCCAGTCCTGCTTGAATGGGTTCTTCCGAGGCCAATCCTCGCCCCTCTGCTCTTCTCCTGGCCAGGCTTCCGGGCGCTCCGGCCGATCTAAGCTGGGCCAGCCGTCGGGGCGCTCCGGGCGCTCCGGGCGCTCCGGGCGCTCCGGGCGCTCAGGGGCTCTGGGCCGCTCCTCTCGGAACAGCGGCAGGAGGTCCAGGGCGCCGGCATCCTCCAGGATCTCCATCCGCGCATCAGGCGGCATGCCACGGAGCGTCTGCTGAATCTTTTTGGAGCCCGTGAGCACCAAGGACCAGTTGTAGGAACTCCCCAGGATTCGCGTGCACTCCTGTGGAATTCAACACACTGGTGATTCCTATCGCTTTTTGCTTGCTCTATGTCCGACAGCTTTCGGGCCAGGCACAGTTGGCTCGAAATACAAGGGGTTGCAAATCCGGAAAATATGTGACTGCAGAATTATGTTCTGAAGAAACGTGTTCGTTCTGTCCACGCTCCAGCAGGACAAGCTCGGCTCAACCTCCCCCTCTAAGATCGTCTGATAGGCGCGCGCTTCATTGTTCTCACATCTTTTCGAAATGCTGCAAAATTCGGGCTGTGGGACAGGGAGAAAGCCCTACATACACACCCAGCCCAAAGCCTTTCCCTTCCTCCAGCTTCCCTTCTACCCATTGCACATGTGCGTTCCCTGAACTTCTTTGTGCTCTGGTGGATGAAGCAATTGAAAGGTTGATCCCGTGAATTGCAAAGACAGAGTGACTGTGGTCGCATGGATAATCTTCTTCTGAAAACTCGCCAATAGAGCTGTTCGTCTTGGGCCAATGTGGGGACCATGCATAGAAATGTCCTCGCAGTCAAAACAAAAGACGTTCGGTCAATGTGCTTGACACGTGGTGCTTCTCCACTTTTAGATTCTGGTACTCGCAACAAAGTAGAAATGGATAGAACGACCCCATCTTCATTTTCAGCGAAAGCGAGCCATCCCGACAGCTCCTGAATCTGCTTTCGCCGGTTGAAGTACCGGCGCCGGACCTCGAAGAGAAACAACCAGGCAGCCTCGATCTGCTGATTGCTGTAGATCGGGGCCTCCAAATAACCATCAGCCGCAACTTCGAAGCAGCCCTTGCTAAGCATGGAGAAGGTGGTCTCCATGTCATCATTGGCCTTGCCACTCCCGCGCCCGCAAACAAGTGCAAGACTTCAAGAAGCTAGCACCATAGGCTCCACGTGAGTACACGCACAGTGTCTCACCGGCTCAGGAGAAGAATGCTAGGACCAGAAGTTCTTTGTCAATATGGGCTGTCCAAAACCAAGCTAACAAAGTCAACAATGCGGAAAGTCGCTTTCATCATGCGTTGGTCAACATGGCCACGGATGTCCCCATAAGCAATAATGCTCGATAGGAAACCGCTGCCGTCCTCCCGAATGCCCGCTGGTTTGGGTATTTTATAAGATTGAGTGCCAACTCGTTGGCTTGTGCTCAAAAGGAAGCAACAGTTCAACAGCGTAGCGGGCTAGAAACACTCATGGTGTCAGATTTATTGCGTTTGGGATTTCATCTCCCAAGGTTTGTCTCAAGGTCCTCCAGAGATAGCGGGACTGGAGGCAAGACCAACTTAGTTCTAGTTGCTTTCTCTCAGACTGCAGCTCCACGCGTTTCGAACAACATCTAGACCGGTGCAGGCAATGTTGCAGTGGTGGGATGGTTGCTTGGGTTTAGGAGTAACCCCACCCACCTCGCCTGCACCAGGCGCTGCAGTGCCTGCAGCAGCCGCGCGCAGCGGTGGCGGATGGCCACGTCCTGGTGGGACATGGGCAGCGGCCAGGGCCGGTCCTCAGTCGGCTCCCGTCGCGCGCGCGCGCGCGCGCGCATCGCGCGCGTGGCAGCTGTCGCTTTCCGCCATCCAGGCACGAGCCAGCGCCAGTTGGCGCACTATCAGACGCCAAGAGAACCGTGACTCTGCATGCTCCCTGAAACGCGTTCGCTCCTGCGCCCAGCTGTGCAACCTTTCTGCTTCTGTCGTGTCTTGGCGATACTAACACAATTTCAGAAAACGCGGCCTTGCGCCAAGCATCATCTTTCTCCATGGTCGCTTATCCAGCACAGCCCATGGCGTAGCAGCACTACCCGCAGTAAGCCACAAGCCACTGTGATTGTTCCTGGACACCCCAAGAACAAAGAACGCCTCGAGAAATGCCAAAGGCTGCATAGTAATTTGCCAAGTTGACAAACTATCCAACGTATGTGGTTCCCCACGTGCAACATCACTGGAATATAGCCTATCATAGCCGTACCGAAGGTGGGGCAAGTCCACCCTTTGAGAGGCGCGCTTAGAGGTGAATGTCCCCAACCGTTGAACCAACAGCATTCTGCCGGACGTATTATGCTGTGAGAACCGTGCCGATGGTGCATAAAGGCAGCTTCGGCGTGCAAGACTTTGCCCAGCACTTCCACAGGGTCACGGCCGACCACAATGCACAGCTCTCCCAATATGGATGCAGCACCGCTTGACGGGCTCGAACCAAAGCTGCAAGGCAACCGGTTGGAAAACAATATAGATGGTGCACATGTGCAAGCAATGTTGTGCATGACTACATGATGGTCATACAACTCCTATGAGAACAAGCACATGCACTGAAGTGATGACAACATATTGGAAAGTTCTCGGGCAGTCGGTGCCAGGCTATGCAATTGGGATCCGGGCCGTGACTTCCGGACGCACTGCCTTCTGTTTGCTCTCCTCTTTTCCTTCCTCCTTCTGGCTATTGACTTCCTTCACCTGAAATTCACAAGTGTCCGTGACAGCTCCTGTAGTCTGGCAGGACGCCTTCTTCTTCGCCTTCAGCTTCTTTTTGCCGCCCGCCTTTGGCACCGCCTAGGGCAGTCGGTCTTTCTGCTTGAAAAGCTGCCCAGGAAACTTCATCTCTGCAATTCTCAACTCGGCATCGGGATGACTATGAAGATCCACCAGTTGGCAAGGCCAAACATGCTTTCAAACACATGCCCAGAACGCGAACAGGCCGGTTGACATGGGTAAGGCAGAGACCATGTGCGTGCACTTTCCCAGCAGCGGGTTAGGGCATCTGCGTCTTACATGACAGCGCAGTAAAAAATATGATAATACCGTTGCATAAATTGGTCCTGGTTTTGTGCAGTAACAAGAGATAGTTGCGGAAAACAATCGGAATTGAATTCATGCATGTGAATGATTGAAACCGAAAGCTATGGCGCTGAGGAAAACCGAACTACAAACCAAACTACTGCAAATCTGAGACTAAAACCTTGCGGCGATCAAGTGTGACTTGGACAAGCCAGGCTTTGGAAAGGGTACCAAGCATCTATCAATGGCCGCGGCAGGATCCTCTGTCACATAGGCCACTGCCTCCGCTCTCCAAAGCAAAGGCTCTGACAGCTCTTTCAGCTGGGTCTTGGTCACCAGTTCGACCGCGCCAGACCGCAGGCGGTGAAACTCCGTCGCCTTTGCCCACTTGCCTGCTGCCTAGAGACGTCCTAGTGCATCCAAAGACCAATTGACAGACTCTTGAACAAGTGGGATCACTCCGAAAGAAACCTTTGTTAGCCAAGTAAGTGTTGACCGTCAGCAATAGATTCATTGGCATCATTGATGAACCAAACAGCATACATACTTGTCACCCGTGCCCTGTGATAGGGACAAGAAACACAACAGCTTCGATATGTCATGCAAATTTCCCAGACCTTCGCTTCCAAGCCATGGCCGGCAGGGCAGGCAACGGGTGAGATGGGCCCAGCCCTTCACAAAGATCAATGCCTGCCGGGAGCATTTCCAACTCTTAACTCTGCCCTGATATACGCCTAACCGTCAACCAGCCTGACCACGGTGTTGCCGGCATGATGAGCTGCCTCCACATAGACCTGAGCCCGGTGCTGTCTTGGCTGCGGAGCTCGTAGTCACGCGCAAGCACACCGGGATATCATATCAGGCATCAGAGGCCAGCGCAGTTTTGTCTGCGGTGCGCTTGACCGGCACGTGGTTCAGATTGACCTTCGAGAGCTGAGCATTGTCAGAAAGTGGCCCCCTCATCTATGGCCATGGAATGATGAACGACTCTCGCAATGGCCTTGCCGTTCACCACCAGAAGCGGGTTCGGGGCCGACAGCACGTCCTGCGATGTGGGCTTGGCACCAGGCCAGACTGAAGCAAACAGCTGTCTGCCTCGTTGACGCTGACACCATCCAAGAACTGCTTCAGAATGGAGCGCAGCCTCAGGTGCAGGTTGCTCACCAAAACAGAGCAACCATCTGCACAGTGATCCATAAAGACTAACTTGAGACTTTTGGAGAACAAGGGGAGCCCAACAATTCGTGTCTCATTTTGTTTCGACTGAAGTAAAGGGGATCCGAATTTCGGAGGCCGCATTCACATGATCCAAATCAACCCTGTGTGTCCAAGGTGCTGTACATTCTCCTTGGTGAGACGCTTTCCTTCCTGCGACATTGAGCACACACAAGTTAGCCCTGCGCCCTGCCCCTGATGACTGCATAGCCAAAGGTTGACGCACAATCTCTGCAAAATGCAAGCAACGTCAGCTTGGATCTGACACACTTTGAAAGCTGCTCCTGTTCCACGGCGTGGTAGTCCAGCTTCACCTGAAAGCGGCTCCAGCCGACATGCGTCACACGCGCACAGCTCCTTCCCGTGCCTTGTTGAAGCGCTTGAAGAAGTTGTCAAGATAAGTCCACTCGTCGATGCCCACGTCCGAAAGCTCCTTCTTGATTTCCTCTCTAAAGTCCTCAAACAGACCAGGCCACGGGAAGGTACAATCCACTTGAAACCGCCTCATCGCCGAATTCCAGCTCGCCCTCTTCGAACTCTTGCAGGATGTCACGGGAGAGGTAAAATGGAAGAACCTGACAACACTCATTGCTGGGCCACGCCGCCTTCAACTCCTCCTCTTGGCAGGAACTGACTACAAGTTCGTGTAACATCCACTCCACTATTCAGAAAAGAACCAAGACGGGCGAATACGAATATCAAAATTTCAGCTACAACTGTATAAGCTCTGTAGCTCATCTAAACAAACTAGAGCAGGGCGCATCTGATTCAGTCCCACATGGCTTGGCTTTGTATGTTCGGACAAGTCGTGGGTGTAAATTTGCTGACATCCTGGCGTCATTGTAAAGCCAGAATGTGCAATGTGCCACTGCTGTTGTTCAAGGCTGGGAAAGGGGGATTGCAAACAGTCCACAGCAACAGGTCACCACCAGCTTGGGGAGGGGAGCCGAGCAACACTGCCTCCAACCTACCCGAGACCTGAACTTCAGTTCGAAGGATCGAGTGGCCAAAAGGTCAAAGCAGAGCTTCTCATGATTATTCCCCGAGTCCCAGGACTCTCCCACTGCACGGGAACTGCTGCGCATATCGTGGTCAAGCTCCGTGTTCTTCGGCCCCAGCTGCTTCAACAGTGAGGGTGCCAACATGCGCCGGGTGCATCGCGCGTCACTCGGGTTCGCTTGGCCTTCTCACGCTCCGTTTCAAACTTCCTGGTCAGGGCGCGTCACTGGTGGCAAGCAGGGACACAATGCTGCTGCATTGTGCTTTGCAGTTTTCCCACGACCAATCATCTATGCTATAGAAATTGCAAGGCATGTCATCATCTCACAGCTATGTCCTGCACAACTCCGCTGTCTTCAATATGCGTTCGGCCAGGGCCAGCTGATCTTTCAGCGACTTGATGCAGTTCCTTCCACTGTGAATGCATCTTCTCTCAAAGGATCGAGCTGTTGTTTCGGGCTTGATGAACGTTGGCAATTTAGACATGCATTCATCAAAGCAGTCTATCATGCGCCGTATTTGAAAGAATGCATGTCCATCTGACGCTAACCTCAAGCAACCAAGGGTTTGCAGTGGTCGTTCTGGAAATGGGAAAGGCTGAAGCCTTTCTCTCGAATGGCTACCACACCGACATAGCAGACTTGTATGCAAACTCGAAGCCGCCTCGCATTCATGGTCAAATCAGACAAGCGCTTCTTGCCCTCGGTTCTGAAGTGATTCATCTTCGCCTTCAACTCCTAGCAAAATGGAGGTGACTCCATGTGAGATGCGTCAAGACAAGACCTCTCGACTCGCGACGTGCCTGGAAGTGCTTGGCGATGTGGTCTTTCTCTGTACGCAGCTGCTGGTTCCGCTCCTCGCTCTCCCAACCCAGTTCCTCCCCCCCCCTCCAAGCGTGCTGTGGGGGTGCAAACGGATGCAACGACCGCGTCGAAATGGGTTTGTCGCACACCCGCGCCTCGCACTCCTGCCTGTTTTGGGCAATCTTCTGCTTCCAGTGCTGGATTGCAGCCTATGGGATTTGGACATTGCATGGAAGCCGCGGAAGTGCAAAGCTCCGGCCGTGAGGCAGCCGCCTGCATCCGCTCTACTTGTCGGAGCCTTCTTTCAACCTGCAACCAGGCGAAACTCGGGACTAGTGGCCTATGGAAAGAACATCTGATGTTGCTTCCAGGCCTGGTCGCTCAGGGTGGCATCCTTTTTCAAGTAGTCCTTCGAGGTAACGGCTGGACGGCTCAAAACGGGGGCAAGACGCGCTCGCTTCCGTTTTCCGATTTGCCGGCAACTTTTGATCTCGGAGCCACTCTGTCAGGAGGCTCATGCGCTTTGCCAGCGGCACGATCTCGGAGCTCCAGGGGGCGCCCAGCTCCATCAGCTCCAGGAGCTGCAAAAGCTCCGAGAGGCTGTGGCCCTTGTGGCGCCCGGTGAGAGCCAGGCGCAGGCACTGGCACAGCGTCTTCCGCTTCAGCTGGGTGTGCTGGAGATGCTCCATGAGCTGATCCCAAGAGTCACCCTTCAGAAGGCCCTGATGGTAAGCCTCCACAAGCTCGTTGACCACGACCGGCATCTCACCTGCAACAAGCACAAAAGCAGTCAGAGCAATGGAAACACAGCTGAAGGAGTTGTCAGTTGGTGATAACTTCTGCGGGCCCCGAGTGGCAGCAATTAATAGGCGCTATCCTTGCCGTCCCGGCCCGTTGCACCCACTTGACGTTTTATCCTTCCGTCACGCTTGCAGCAAAAAACACACCAAGGGAAAAAGCCCGCCAGAGAAACCGCTCTTCCAGGTGCCTTTATAGAGACTTGTGCTGATTCTTTGTTCAGAACTCTTTGGCCTGGTAGCTCCTTCCCTTCCAGCAGGTGCAAATCGAAGCAGAGCTCCCGGTGCAAATGCCGCAGCGCCCCCCGCAGATCCCCTGCCCCGCTGGCCGCAACTCGGGCGGCCAGGGACAGCAAAGCCGGTTCCTCGGCAAAGCCGTGCAGCACCAGCAGCGGCTGAAGCCGCTCCTTCCGCATCGACGCGTGGCGAAAAATGGGCCTCAAAGGCCCTGCTCAAAAACATAGCCTGTCAGCGCGTCAGTTGAAGCAGACTTGCTGGGTTGTTATCATCAATGTCTCGCCAAGAAGCTTGACCTTGCAAACACTCGAGCAGAAAGCCCAGGATCCTCTTGTAATCTGTGGCATCCCACAGTTCTCCGAAACCGTCACAAGCCAGGCCATCTCTCAGAGATTGCTACTTGGGATATCATGAATGCACAACTAAGCTTTCTGAAGATCCGGCCCCAACGAGCGAGTACAGAACTCCCGCTTTGCATGGTTCAGCTCCAATTCATCATGTCAAAAACATTCCCCCACCCCCCGGGTGTTGCTTCTCTCAAGCGCATTTCCGGGAACTGCCCCGTCATCATGTCGTTCCTGCTTAAACCCTCAACTTGTTGGCACATTCAAGGCTGATTGCACGCGCCAGTCGTTGCACAATTGTGCAAGGCACGTTAGTACTGGAATAGCTGAGGTTCACATCCCCAAAAAGAGCAGAAATGTGTTCGATCTCAAGCATATTCTCAGGAGACGGCTTAGATATGTCCGGTGTTCCCACACTCGTATACCATCATCTTGTCGGGGGGGAGAGATAAGCGTGACTCTGAAAGTCACACTCGGCAAGGGTCACCGAGTTGACGCAGGGATGCTTCAAACAATGTTTTACCCTGGTAGAAGCTGTAGAACTCAGCCTTTGCATTGGAATGGTTCGCTGAACGACACATGCTGACCAAGACATGTGCGATATTTGTTTGTTCAACCTCGGATTTGGGCATCCATCTATCTTGTTGTGCTGCCTCGCAACCTCACCAAGCCCTAAGTACACCATATTCCCCATACACAACGTGAAACATCGGGGAAGGCGCGTTTTTCAATGGACCAACACTTCAACCCACTTCCTTGCACAACGCGGCAAGAAGTATTTGCAGCTGGAAACCAAGGCACCTGAGTGCGTCTCAGTTTGTACCCTGGGGGCGGTTGAAAGGAGTTGAGACAAGCCCAGCAAAAGCTTTCTTGCTCTATGAGGCACACGCATCTCCCGGAGCTGAAAAACGTCCCAGCAAGCCGGCTTGGCTGAAGCACTGGGGTAACCGGCCAGTTCCTCCCTGTGAGTATGTCATAGCATGTTATGGCATGGCGGCTCCCTCCTCCAAGACCTGAGGTGGCAGGGGCTCGTCCAGCTGGGCGCGAGCGCGGGCGTCCCAGGTGCCCAGCTGGGCCGCGAAGAAGGTGGTGAGGTTGCCCTGCCGCCGCCCCGACCCCGGCGCTCAAAATGCGTAGAGGAAAAAACACGCTCACATCTCCGCGCACGCACAGCAAGGCAGTGCACAAGTCCAACAAGCGAGAGGGCTTTTGAAAAAATGGCAATGCTAGGCCAATGTCACCCTGGAATGGGTTCTCCTGACATACACTCACTGTATACTTCTGATGTGATGGTAGAGACTGCAGAGACTCTGATTGACAGATGTTGGTGGACAGAGAGAGGGTTGTCCTGCAGAGGTGTCTGTTGAAACTCAAATGAGAACTGTAGCTATCCAACAAGGCACAAGTCCCGGGTGTGTTTACACGCTCCCACCTGCCACCATCATCTGTTGTTTCTGTTTCTCAGGAAAACAAGATGGGTCGAAGCAACAGTTGCTTAAACAAAAGTGGCCCAAGATGCTTGGCCCAACCTGCCTGCTCGTTCCGGCGGATACAGAGCTTGTACCTTACCAATTCAGCCAATTTGGCCACCAAGTTGAGAACGAAACACCAGTTCAGCGTGCCGCCACACACCTGACCTGGACAATGTGTCATAAGGCTGTGATGCTGCTCGAGTGGAGCCGTTGCCCACCGCACGTTGAACATGGCATTTTACAACTGACGGGCTAGGATGTTCAAATGGTGATCCTGCTTGCCTACCCTAGGGTGAGCATCTTCAATGAGAGGCAAATGCCCCCACACCCATAGCTTCTGTGTTAAAATAGCGTTTTGCAATGCCGCGGATTAGTGGAAGAAGCACCTGCTGAATTCACTTGAAGCTGAAATATCCACAAATACATTGTGTTGTTTGTGGTGTTTTTGTTTTCGGGGACACCTTCTACAATGGCAAACCCCAAAACATACAGGGTTCTGCATTTTAAGGAACCACTTTCTACAGTCCTCTTTAAAATCACCAATTTGCCCACTGATCCTGGCAGTTTCAGTGGGACCCTCATGTTTAGTGGGAAAGCAGCCACCAAGCAGAACGGGGAAAAGGATGCCACAGCACAACTGAGTTCAATCATTTTGAGCCAAGCCCGGCAAATAGCGAAACTAAGCTGATGCAGAACTCAAGGAGTGGCTTTCAGCTTTGCTGCATAAGCTCCTTAGGCAAAACTCGTCCCCATGTCAAAACCTGCTAGACTTTGGCAGATGTGTGCTAGGCATATGGCAAATGTGTGCTAGACATATTCCAAAGTCATACACTACTCAACAATGCCAGATACGTTATATATGTTCGGCCCGTGCTCTACCTTGCAAAACAACTGACAGCAGAAGCAAGCTGCACATGTTAAAAGATTCAAGGAAAACGGCATGTAAAGAAACACAAGAAAACACAAGAAATTGGGAAGCCCTCCGGAAAAATTGTAGTTGATGCCTCAAAACCTTTTGAGTGGGAATTGTGTTTTGGTATTGCTTTGTTTTCCGCTTTCCCTGTGTCCTCGAGCTTTTACTAGACATAGTATAGAGGCTAGACACGCGTTGTAAGAGCAGTCCAACCATAAGTGAGACAAAATACACAAAACACACGCACACACACAAGCAATGAATGAGTTTCTGTTCTTCCTAGATAACTCGAGGGGGTCCTTTCGGTTTGTGCGGATCATGAGGTGGATCCGTGGTGCACGTGGTCCCCCAGCTTGGCCACCCGGACGTAGCCGATGTCGCGGCTCATGAAGTCCCGGCTCCACTGCCGCCCCGTGGCCCGCTCCGGCGACAGCGTCTCAAAGAAGGCCACCGTGGCGATGGCCAGCTGCCACTCGGGGGACACACCCACGAAGAACCCACCAAAGTCCTGAAGACATGCGTAACAATTACACCATGGGGACCGCAGGTTTTGGTCCATGTTTCCACTTACCAGGGTTCCATTTGACCCACAGCCACATCACAAAACATGGAAGACATGGAAGACACGGAAAACGAAACGGCGATCCAAAACTCGCCAGCACAGAAGTCTTTAACTTTCCTTCGGGCTCCTGTTTTGGTGTCCCTGTGGTTTGTTGCTTGACCTGTGGTGCTGCTTTTGCTGCCTGCTACAGGGCAGTCGCTGGTTTTGGCACTTTCTTGGGTGCGTTCTCAAAAAACGGAACCTTGCAGGGCCATGTGTGTTGCCTGCTTGCAAAATGAACCTGACTTGCTTGACAGCCAAAATCAGCCGGCCCCTGTCTAACACCAAGTCTCATTCCTTCCAGGATCAAGGCAAAACCAAGTCTTCTGAGAAGCAATTCGGCTAGGGCTGGATTTCGGCCTATCGGCTAAATACGTATATCGGCTTCCTCGGCGATTCAGCGAAGCCGTTGCTCTCCCCCCCATCCTTCGTCAAGTGCCGGCCACCATGATCCCAGGTGAAGCTCCCGCTCACGAAGTAGGGGTTCAGCTCCGCGTCCCGATTGCCCTTGTAGCGAGGGCCCAAGTACCGGGCAGCGCCCTTCTGCTCCTCGAGATAGAACTTGACCCAGTTGTGCAGGCCCCCCACGAGTTCTCGGCCCTGCAGATCCTCGGTGGCCTCCCCCACAAAGACGTGCTCGAAGCCACACCTCACGGGAAAAGGATGGCAAATGCCAGGTTTTGGAAGAAAAATCCCTTCCCGGCGCCTGGAGCTATCCGGGTGACGCTGGAACCAGATCTGCCAGAGGTGTTGATGCCACTCCACATCGCTCAGGCCTGAAGGCACAAGCTTCGCCGCCTCCGCCCGAGCCCGGCGCATCACCGGAGTCCTGTCTACTACGTTGAGAAGTCGTTCGATGGTTTTGCGCTCCTCGCTGGAGTAGTCCATACTAGGACCCCTTTTGTGAAACACCTCGAAGACATCGAGTAGGGATAAGAAGGTGGGTCTCGTGAAGACATAGGGCTGCACTTGGGCAAAGAGAGGAAAGGTCAGACCACCCTTGGACCGCGGCCTTTCATCTATCAGAATATCCTTGCTCGCCAGCAAGCGTGTCACCGCCTTTTCGTCTGCGTCTGGCTTTGTCAGGGCTTCCGCCAGCTTGGCAGTGCGGATGTTCTCCACGGTGGCCCGGCCCTCACAAAGTTCCAGACTTTGGAACGAAGAAACAGACTCCTCCAAAGCCAGTCATCAACAAGAAACGGCCCCCTTGAACCTCCTTCTCCGCATCCTTCCCTAGAAATCCCGCCTCGTCCAGAATCCACAGCTCGGAGTAGATGCCGCCCCCTCCATTCACGCAGCGCGCGGCCCGTGCCAGCGCAGCGTCCACCAAAAACTCCGCCACCACCGCCACGTCCGCGCGCCCTGACCGGATCTCCTCCTCCGCACGCTCCACCAGCTCGTGGCGCGCCCGCGCGGCAGCGCGGCCCACCGCCGTGAAGTCCCCACCTATGTCAAATTTGAAAAACTCCAGAATTCTGCCAATCCGGAAAGCAGGACACTTAGGGTTGGAGGGATGAAGTCGGTTCCATGGAGCACTGCCCGAATGCTGAGCTCCAGGCTCGAGGAGAACTCCTTCACTCCAGCCTCCGCTGCCGCACGTATCAGCTGATAGGCTGCCCGAGCCTTGACGTCTAGCCCCTGCGGGCCGCGAACCGCCGCCTGCACCAGCGCATGGCCCAGGCTGTCGAGGCGCCGCCGACGCAGCAGCCGGCGGTGGGCCAAGGTGGAGCCCAAGCCAACTGCCAGGCCCAGTAGGAAGGAGCCCACTGCGCTCCGCTGTACTGACCTCAGTGCCCTGGACCGGCATCGAGGCGCCGGGAATTCCGAGGCGGCTACGCGGCCTGTCAGACTGGAACGGCTGGGCAAAGCGCCAAGACCCGCGACGCCCACACGTGGTGCGGGCGCAAGGCCATCGGTGAGGCACATGTATGGTAAATTCCTGTGCACGGAACTGATGGTCCGATGGTCAGCAGGTGATTTGGCTCTACCTCTCATTCTAGCCCCACCTCAGCTTGTCAAACCTGCTCATTGTGAATCAGCGGTTAACGTTTAGGATGGCACATGACATATCGTTGGAAGCAGCAATCTGCACATGGTTGATACTGCAATTTGCCGCCTTGTTTGTTGTCCAGGAGCCAATGGCTGCAAACATGGTCTCGAACTGGACTTTGGCTCAGCAGGCTTCTGGCAAAGCTTTTTTTGTCAGCCTGGTCTTGTCCAGTTTGATTTCACGCATTGGCCCTCCCCGGCCTCCAAAACAAACATTCGGCATGGAGCAGCAACAGCTATGAAAGGAAAATGCTGAGAGGTGCTGGAACACCGCAAAACTGTTGGAGGTGTTTTGAACACAGTCATGGCTGGACGCAACTCTTGATGTCAAGATCCTTGTAGTCGGCTGTACTGGTCTCCGTGGACCTTTCGTAGGTCAGCAGCTTGTCTTTACACCTGACAAATGCAGCAGAGCTTGTGAGCCAATCGCTGAGAGCTGGTAGGTCCAGGTTGACAAGTGAAAAGCAAAAGCAACAGCAATGATTTGCAGGCCTTGCTCTGGTCTCTTCGATTTGCTCCTCCAAGCCGGAGCGCATCTGGTGATCTTCCTCAATGTTCTTGTTGCCTGAGTCCATGCGGCCCAGAATTGAAAAAGAATCTCTGACACTATACCTGGGAATACCTATCTGTCAACCCGTTGGGTAGTTTTTCGTGTCTGTAGGTTTGGGCCAGGAACATGCCCATGTCATATCCCAGCTCAATTCAGAAATGGCTCAAGGGACGGATTGCTGCTGAGGGACGAATGAGCTCGAACTGGCCCTGGTGGTCCGAGATGTCAGCCTCGCACACTGCGAGCCAATGGCCAAGCACTATCATAAGCAGAGCTCACCTTTCCCATCCTTGCAAGAGGAAAGCTTGGGATGAACAAACCAATGTAGCCTTGGGGATAGCCTTGGGGACCCTGGTCTGGCCCCAGATCTGTGCTCAATGGAATCTTCAATAAGATATTGAATCCAGTTTGAAGCATAAATGTTATGCGCAAACAATGATGTCCACAACACAAATGTTGCAGGCCTGTTCTCTATTCTTCTCCTCGCGCCTTAGGTCTGCTGGCTCTATGCCGGCTTCATGCCAACTGCAAGGCATACATTGGCCTTCAACGCCAAGTGCGGCAACTTCACACAAACGCACACAGATCTTCAGATGCAATCGAGCCGCTCAACTTGCTCCACGATCAACGCCAGCTCTCGCTTCTCGAGGGCGTGCCGTTCCTGCAACGTGCCCCGGTGCATGCCAGTCACACCTTCCAGCTCGCGCCTGGATGTGCTCGCGTTCAATTCGGAACTCCTGGCATCCGGTGGGTCGACATGTGTCTGATTCAGCTGCTGCGAATAACTGGTTCGTCTGGTCAGCAAAAAGCTATATCGACCTCAAACAGAGTCAAACCAAGCCGGATTGCACTGCGTCATCACGCACGTGGCTGCCCAAGAGAACCGGCTGGTTCCCGCGTTGTCCTCCTGTAGAGTCGCCACATCCCGCTTGAACTCTTCATCCAAGGCCAGCAGCCTCGCATGAGCGGTTTAATAAATTGTAGTAAGCAATCCAGAGAAAAGTCGTCAAAGGGCGACCTATGGATCCCCAAGGCCTTTTTTTGCTCAGGACCAATCAAAGGAATCCAGCGTCATGTGTTCCAGAATCTATATATATATATATATGCTCCTCCCCGAAATGTCCCTGTTTTTCTGTGCTGAAGCCTTTGTGTGTGCCTGGCAGGACAGTAGCAGCAGGCAGTCGCAATTTGTGTTTGCGCCTTTTTGGGTCTTATGATGTCCTCAGCAAGGATATCCTCTTCAATATCTACATCGAAATAACAAGTCCAAATATGGTTTTCTGTCAACAAGAAATCCTGCCTAATGTCTCATCAAAGCTAGAAATTGACCAAATTCACGAATCTATTAAAACTCTCTGGGAAAGGAAGCCCCCCGTGAAATCGAAGTAAGAGTCCCAGTTCAAAACAGTGATTTAAAAGAAATCCTGTTCAAATCATCTTTAAAGGTAGAAATGGATTCAGGATTTTCACTTTTAATGTCTATTGAAATTCCAATTAGACAATTGAAGAAGTCAATCCTGGACCAAGGCAGATCCAACCGACTCAAATGGATTCAAAACCCCCCCGAAACGTTTTGAACCTGAAGCTTCTACACTGTCTTTGGAAATACGCCTTTTCTGCTGCTTTCTGAAAACACATGGACAGTTGGGGGGGCACCATATACATGTGTTTGTTTATCTATATATGTATACATATATATATATGTATATATATATATATATGCATCTATGTTTATTTAGACACATACGTGTCTCAAAAAACAGCACGAATTCACTGTGCATATATATATATATATGTATACGTGTATATATATATACATAGAGATGCACTCAATATCTATCTATTCATTTGATACATGTATTCATGTATTCATGTACGTATTAATTTACGTATCTATGTCATGTATCTATGTGATTACCTACTTGTCATGTATTTGTTATAGTTGTTCATTTGCTGAATTTTGCATGGATGGATTCATTTATTGTGTATCCAGCTGTGTATTTATGTATTTAGTTAATTATTACTGAAACTACCTACTGATGTATCTATTCATTGATGTAATTTCCCTAGTCTATTCAGAAGTGATGTGTTTAAAGAATTGCATGGCTTCTGATTTGTCTGTTTACTTATTTCTTTACTTCTTAACTTATTTATTTATGTATCTACTCTATCTATGTATTTTACATACTGCATGCACATGAATATGCTTTTCCTCTGTCAGGCATTGTGCATCTTCGACGGATCGAAGAAAGGCATTTGGGGAGGGGGAAAGTAAGGCATGTGTATCTTCCAAGAACCAAAGCCAATGGACCTGCTTGCGACGCTACTTTATCAAGGCCTGCTCTGCTGGATCTCCAGGAGTCGGTCCACGTTCAGCAGGTGGCTGCGCACCGCTACTTGGTGCTGCTCCTGCCACTTGAGCAGCCCCTTGCCGAAATGGGCATGAAAAGACCGGTTTTTGAGGGTGTCTGAATCTGCAATTGTGGCTTGATTTCGTATGTTGAGCTTGCTTGTTTGCTTGGACTTTACTGGCAACAAGGTCTCAAAAAAGGTCTGCGCAACAAAAGGTCTCAACAAGGTCCCTTAACGTTTGACACTTCGTCTCTCATCCAGTTGTATTCCTACAAGCCGGCCCTGCCACTCCACCAAGGTCTGTCCTCAGCCTCATCAAGGTCGCGATCCAACATTTGAAGGATGGCATCCTTTCCTGAGAGGAGGAATCCTTTCAAGAAGCAACAGCAGCAACAGCAGCAACAGCAGCAACAACGACGACGACGCCAACGACGTGTGCCCCTCTGGAAGCCCTGGGAAGAAAAGCCAGGAAAGCCTGCTTTGCCAGTGCAGGAACGGGGGCCAAAATCAAAACTTTCATACTTTGGCTGAGCCTTTTGCGGTCTACATCACGCTCGTGGTTCTGCGAGATGATTTCAACCTGGCGGCTACGCACACGTTGTGACATATCTACGAAAACAATTGAGAATGTCGCCATCCCACGCCTGCTTTTTGAGCTGCTTGGTTTTTGCAGAGCGCATGATCTTGAGCCAGCTCTCTTGTATCCTGAAGTCTGGGGAAAAATGAGCCGCCAGAAGGGCACGGCAAACAAACTTTGAAGGTGCTCGGATTCCAAGCGTTTGGAGCACCAGCGAAGCATGATACTGCGATGGAACAACCGCCGTGCTAAGAACCTGACCGGCTCATGTTGTACTTGGTGTTTCGGACCTGGTCAGCAGGCAGTGCCAACGTGCGGTTGCATTTTCAAACAGGCACAGCCCGATTTTACAAAGACACAAGGTGGAGAAGGAATCAACCAAAATGTCGCGTGCCAAATTCCACACACACACACAAACACACACGCACGCACGCACGCACGCACGCACGCACGCACGCACGCACTCACACACACACACCACACCACACCACCACCACCACCACCACCACCACCACCACCACCACCACCACACCAACCACAACCACAACCACAACCACAACCACAACCACAACCACAACCACAACCACAACCACAACCACAACCACAACCACAACCACAACCACAACCACAACCACAACCACAACCACAACCACAACCACAACCACAACCACAACCACAACCACAACCACAACCAACAACAACAACAACAACAACAACAACAACAACAACAACAACAACAACAACAACAACAACAACAACAACAACAACAACAACAACAACAACAACAACAACAACAACAACAACAACAACAACAACAACAACAACAACAACAACAACAACAACAACAACAACAACAACAACAACAACAACAACAACAACAACAACAACAACAACAACAACAACAACAACAACAACAACAACAACACAACAACACAACAAACAACAACAACAACAACAACAACAACAACAACAACAACAACAACAACAACAACAACAACAACAACAACAACAACAACAACAACAACAACAACAACAACAACAACAACAACAACAACAACAACAACAACAACAACAACAACAACAACAACAACAACAACAACAACAACAACAACAACAACAACAACAACAACAACAACAACAACAACAACAACAACAACAACAACAACAACAACAACAACAACAACAACAACAACAACAACAACAACAACAACAACAACAACAACAACAACAACAACAACAACAACAACAACAACAACAACAACAACAACAACAACAACAACAACAACAACAACAACAACAACAACAACAACAACAACAACAACAACAACAACAACAACAACAACAACAACAACAACAACAACAACAACAACAACAACAACAACAACAACAACAACAACAACAACAACAACAACAACAACAACAACAACAACAACAACAACAACAACAACAACAACAACAACAACAACAACAACAACAACAACAACAACAACAACAACAACAACAACAACAACAACAACAACAACAACAACAACAACAACAACAACAACAACAACAACAACAACAACAACAACAACAACAACAACAACAACAACAACAACAACAACAACAACAACAACAACAACAACAACAACAACAACAACAACAACAACAACAACAACAACAACAACAACAACATCGCACGCACGCACGCACGCACGCTCGCACGCTCGCACGCTCGCACGCAGGCACGCTCCCTCTTTAGCAAGATTTCGTACGCAGCGACAGCTCCAGGCTGCTCAAACCACACGCGCTGCAGCATGGGCACCTCCAGCTGCGTGTCCTTCTGGAGCTTGTGTCGCTGCTGCATGAGCATGAACTGCTCCTCCCACGCTAGAAACTACCCACCCAACTCGAACCGAGGTATGGAGCTGGATTCACAGGAACCCTCTGCTTGATACGGCAGCTTTGGCCCTAAACTGGTTCGGGCAGCCAGAAAGTTGCACTCTCGGCGCCTTGTCATAATCCTCCATTTCTTTTGCCCTCGGATTGACTGCCTTCGGAGCCATGGCGGCCTGACGCAAGGCACTCACGACGGTCCAACACGGCTGCCAAGTGTTCCGCAACACGGCTAAGTAGCAAGGCATCCCTGTTGATGACAACTATCAAGGATGACTGCAGAACACAACTGTTTTGCACGAGTTGGTTTGATAGAGAGACTTGCCCCTCTCGTACATGCACTTTCAGCCTATCAATTGTGCGGGCAATGTGCCAAGCACACCTCCATGTCAAAACAACCAGAAAAACAGTATGGCGCAACTCATCGAGACCTGGTGCCCTCAAAAACAGGGACATCATCCGGGGTTACATCACTAAGGGTCACGTCCTGGTGGAACAGGGGTATGCTGTCAAGAATGGAAAGTGCCACGAGGCAGACATATTGGGTTGTCAAGGTGTCAAGATATCAAGCTTGACATTTGGAGGTCGCCAAGTGCCCAAATGTAAAGGTGGCAAAACGTTGCAAGGTGGTGCTGAGGGCCTCGCCTAGGCAGTTGAGTAACCGCCCGCCGCAACGTCTCCGTGTGTGTCTTGCGAGCCGAAAATCCAGAAAGTGGTCCACCTTGCTTCGCCGCACGAAGCCATTGGACAAGCAACAAGTCATGTTCAAAAGGGCAAGAGCTATGCACTCAAGCATCAGTATGTTTGTGCACTCGACTCAAATGACAAACTGTCAGCGCCAGTTGCAACTCCGGAAATGCAGGTTTGGACCATCTCCTTGTCACCGGTTGCCTTGTATGAAGGTCATGCTAATCGAAATCCTTCTGAATCTTCGTCTTCAGTCAAGCATAAACTTCCTGAAATGGCCCAAGGCTCCATGGAGGTTGCTGAAGAAGCTCGACGAACAAATGTTTCATCAATAGATCTGGGCCGAGCTCACTTATTGGCGAACTAAAGAGCATGGTAGGACAAGGACTGTACACTCACTACCAAAAAGCTGTACACAATCCAACCCGCAATTTTGGATGAAACAATATGACTCCTGAAGTTCTCTTGACTGCTCACTCGTCACCATCAGCACCAATCATTTCAAGCGCCTCGGCATCAGACCATATGTTCTGATAAAAGACCATGGATTCCACACGCCGCTGTGTTGTAACAGCATACGGTATGTGGCTGTTGATGCACATACGCTCCTTCACCAGGTTCAGTCGTGCCAACAGGTCAGCTTGGTTTGCCCACACTCTGGGGCACATCGAGACCCATGCTGCCAATCTCAGCAAGTCAGGGCGACTTGCCCGTCGGTTAGCCGCTGTGAGGCTGGCTGTGCTGCAATGGACAAGTCGCGGGTCCCAAATCAGAAGTGTTCCACGCCGACCGCCAGTGCAGATCAGCACCGGCTGAGTGTGGGATGTGTTCCCAGTGTGCCGATTTGGTTCAGAATCGATGTAGTTGGTGTACTGCGCCACATCCAAATACTCCCCAGCATCCGTCCGCAGCTGACCAAACAGATGGTGTGACTTGGGGATGCAGCAAAAACCCCCCGTGTCCGCGGACACATCCATGATGTTGACCACCCCTGGGAAAACCACCCTCTGATTTCTCAGGGGCACCCCCGGGTCAGGCTTTGGGTTGTCAATGTGGAACCAAGGCTCAGATGTTGTTCGCCAGGCTGGATTGAGCCCATGTGGTCGAAAAACATTGATTGAGTTGAACGATGCCAGCAGTCTGCGATCCTCCCCCATCGGTTCATTCAATCTGGCGCATATGTGAGCATAGGCCAGCTTCACCCCTGAGGATTTGCGTAAGTGCCATTGGAAGGCAGAGTGATCCCAACCTTTGATATGCCCACAATCACTGCGTCCCGCCATGGTTTCGAACTTATCCTTGGCTGTCCACGATTGGGGAACATCCCGGTACCAGCCCACAGCAGCAGCTTCCTCCCAAAAAAGGTCTTCAGCGTCTGCCGCTTCAACAGGGCTCAATGCTTGGATGACGCAATATCCGTACTCTGCCAGAAAAGAACACAAACCGTCACTGTCTCTCGGGTCGAAAACGGGCGGCTCAAACGGAACGATCGAGCATGCAGCCATGTGAATTCTGAAGCCTTGTGGAGAAAATAGGTTGTGATCTCAAAGAACTTTTCTGAACATGCTCGGCAACCAGTGGCATGTTCTATAACACACAACCGGGCGTGGTAATTTCTGCGCCTGCCTCGGCGAAATGCATGTTTTGGAGCCAACAACCTCAACATGCCGCTGTGCATGTCAACATCCACACTCAATACAACTTCAAGTCATGGCTGACTTGCTTGGTGTTGCAGTGTGCACCTTTTCAAGAACAATTGGACAAGTTTAAAGTCGCATTCATTATTCCTGTTCGAACAAACGCCGCCAGAAGAAACATTTCTTTTGCTTTGCCCCCGATGAATCTACCTCTTTGCTGTTTGAAGGGTACTTCGGAGATGGAATGCAATTGATTCATTTGGAATGCCCCATGCGACTTGACCAGCATCAGCTCACCCTAAGCAAGGAAATCCTCTTCAAAAGCTAATTTGGAGTAGCAATTCCAAATATGTGGTTTTGTTGAAAAGGATACCCTATGTAAATTGTCTTTAAAGTCCGAAATTCTACTAACATTATTTCCTTCTTAGATTTCATTCAATTCTAGATAGAAAGTGGAGAAACAATTTCCCGGGAAAGGATGTTCTTTGTAAAACAATTGAATTAAGAATCCCAATCGACAACGCTCTTCAAAATGGAAACCCTATTTAAATCAACTTTCAGTCTAAAAAATATATTCTTACCACCTGCTGCACTGCTCCTAGCTTGAACCCAAACAACCCTCCAAAAAACAAACCAAAGGTGCGCATTTTTCCGGGTTGCCGGAAAGTTGCACTGCATCTAGGGCACGCGGTGCACCTAGAGCAGGGACACATTAACTTGCTTGGAAACGCATGTTCAACCGGAAACAGCACTAAGTGGCACGCCATACAGTCCCAGTGCCATGTTTTCGCGCAATGTTTGTTCACAAACGCCTTGATGCGGCAGCCAGGTGTTCTGGCCGCTAAGGCGCGTCTATAGGGCAAAGCGTGAGCCCTCTTCCGGCCTGTGCAAGGCTGCCAGGACTGAAGCGCACTCAGTCTGCAGGGCGATGGAATCGCGAGAGGCGATCTTGGCTGAGATCATCGGCCCACTTGTTGAAGCGCCCGGGCACGTGAGTCGGTTGCAGGAGTACGTTTTGTGTATGGGCCCACGAGGCAATGAGTTGCACAAAGAGCTGCAAAGGCCAAGATGTCGTAAACATTTTTTTGCTGCCTGCATGTGCTGCCGAATTATCAATCCGGAAGGCAGGCTAAACAAGTAATGCCCGCCGCCTATATGGCTATGAGTGGCCTGCAGCAGTGCCAGTTGTGGTAGAGTCTCGAAACACGCAATGTAGCGCTGTGCAGGTTTCGAAAGACAGGCCGCGACCCCAGCCAGAGTTCTTGAGCCGCGCTCTTGAACCGCATCCCCCGCAGGGGTTGCTGCCTTAAGACACCGCGTGTTTTTGGGAAACATGCACCGCTCCAATCAACAACCAAACCCTCGACACGACAGAGACGCACTCCTCTTTCGTATCCGGGTTCTGGAGTCAGCTGATGCAGAAGCAGTGTGCTGCGGTGCACGGCTTCAGCTAGAGAAGGCTCTATTAACCCCCTGGTGAACCATAAGCATCACTCTGGAGAAAAATCCTCGATTGATTCTTCGCACTGCGGCGCCGAGGAGTTTTAACGAACCTTAGGCGGTACCTCACGGTACCTAGGGTTGCCCAGGGCACTGCAGTGCTTTGCGCAGCGGCGCCAGTGCCTGGCGTCCAAGGTAGGGCGAACCTTAATAACAGGCTGCGTGGCTTTGCGGGAATTGGCACTGCGGTGCGAAAAAGACAGGTCGACTTGCAAGGCCTGCGGCCCCTTCATGCACCCAAATGTTGGCTAACAAGCCGGAAAAAAGGGCTGAGCGTCGGGCCCGGCCAAGGTAGGCAAACCTTGGTGACAGCGGTGAAAGAAGCTGATAGCCTATGCCTGAAGTCAGGACAGCGCGTCCTTGCCCATATATTTTTGGTCACCAACGCGCCTTGGGGCAATTGCCATCGGTCACGAAACATGACGTACATCATACAGAAAGTGGTGAAACATGTGAGACACAGAATCATCATCCAGACTAAACTGTAACAGCCGAAACACACACAAAGAGACAGCGAAGCAACGAACCGAACCGACAGGAACCAAACACGCAAAACACGAACGACAACGAAGAGCTTAGCCCCGAAGATGATGGAGAACGAAAATCCGCAGCTCAATCGAAAAAATTCGAGAACTGAACTACATCGAGCCCAAAGGTAATGAAAAAGGCGAGCAAATGGCTCAGCAATTCGCCCTAAAATCCGCCGAGGGCACATTTGCGCATCGTTAACCCCCATGAGTGGCCATGCGGATAAGCAACATGCGCAAGTAGAGCGCAAGAAAGGTCGCCATGCAGAGCAAAGAGAGAAATTAAAAGTCTCTCACAAGCAAAAGGGACCACTGGCAGTGGCCAAGCAAAATGAAACATGCACGAATTATTGCAGCGCACAGGCATCACCTGGTGTCGTGAGATGCCAAGAGACCAAGCGGGGCTGGGTACTACAAGGCTCTACGACACACATGCTTATGCAGCAGTGACCCACCAAAACGACACAATCTACGCAAAAATAGAGCAGGGTGGGTTAATCAACAAAGTCCGGCGCGGACCATTCAGGAAGTATCAAGCCCGAATCGAGGTGCGTAATGGTACGCAGAGCGGACCATGAGACCAGGCGGGGCCTGATACTACATGGTCCGCAGACCTCCAAGCACTTGGTAGGAGTAGCACTAGGCATGACCAAATCATAAAATGCAGCGGAGACGAGAGGCAGGGCGCAGAGACCCAGCGAGGCTGAATTGCTCAATCACTCAACGTCGCCTACGACCGCTCCCACTGCTCTGGCCATCAGGCGGCGCCTGGAGGCTGCGCACAATGTTCGTGAAGTAGTAAGGAACATAGGCCTATAG